TTAATTATTTTCCATTTAACAATCTATCTATCTATCTATCTATCTATCTATATATATATATATATATATATATATATATATATATATATATATATATATATATATATATATATATATATATATATATATATATATATATATATATATATATATATATATATATATATATATATATGTATATATATATATATATATATATATATATATATATATATATATATATATATATATATATAGATAGATAGATAGATAGATAGATAGATTGTTAAATGGAAAATAATTAAGCAGTGCAATGTTTACAACACAACCACGAAGTCCTGCAAACTATGCACAAACGAAAAATATGAAATTCTATTTTCCAAAAATAAAAATCTACTACATAAAAAGTGAAAAAAAAAAGTATTCAAAGTGCATCAAAACAAGTTTCTTCTCGCTCTATTCGACACGGGTGATTGAGCAATTTTCTAATTAATTAATAAGATTTTTCTTAATTTAAAGAATAAAATATGCACAGTTAACCAGCCAAACTGAATCCCAGCTGGAATTGATTGGGATTAATGGGATTTGGTTCGGGCTAGGATTTGTTCTTGGTGCTAAATGGGTCCTATATGGTATGAAAATAATACCGCAAATAAAATCTAGGTTTCTACTGGGATTGGCATGGGGCTTCCGTAAACGGTATACAGCTGGTTTGAAGATGGGACTTGTGGTTTAATGGCAGCGTGTATTTTCTTATCGAAAGAGTTTAATTTGCATCGTTTTTATTAAAAAATTTTGTTGCAATAAAATTACAAAATTCTTTTTAAATGTCATATGCAGTAGCGCGGCTTGATTTAGACTGAATATGCACTTGCATTTGGAGTAATTATAGAAAGGAACTTCATTTGTTTTTTTTATTGTATTTTTGTAAAAAACATTTAAATATCAGTTATATACAGAAATGGCTTAGTGTGTTTTATTTTTATTTTTTTTTTCACAAACAAATCTCAAAGACTTTTTGAAAAACCTTTGAATTCGTTATGTTTTGTAAAGTAACTTTGACAAATATTTTTTACAAAACATAGCAAAGTTTTAATATGTGCCTTTTACTATGTGTATGTATTTTACTTACTGTCGTTTGTTAACTTTACATATTATTTATTTTTACATAATTTATTTAATAAAAGAATTATATATTTATAAATTACATGTAAATTATACCTACTTACATACATTTTGAAAAAAAATTAAAAGCATGCATTTATTATATGTAAAATTTTAAATATTTTATAAGTAATATAAATAGTATATTTCTTATAGTATAATTAATATATTTTCAAAAACATAACTTATAGAAAATGTTAAATCTTACATTTATAATATGCATTTATAAATGATATAAAAAAGTTTATATATAGCAGTGTCACTTGGTAAAACATTACTAATAGTAATATTATCGCTTTACAAAACATAATAATACTATGTTTTGTAAAGTGATACTTGTAATTTGAGTTTTATTATAAATATTGTAAAATATATTTTAATTTGAAATATAAGGTTTTACATAAAAAATATTTAAATAATTTATATTGTGAATTATTTGTAAATAATAGTAATTAATAACAAAAATTATTAATTGCCCAGTTAACCACAACAACTGGATCCCAGCTTAGATGTAACTGGATTATTGGAAATGAGTTATAGCTGGGATTTGAACTGGGTAAAAAATGGGTCCCATATGGTGAAAGTATTGCGGCATATATATATATATATATATATATATATATATATATATATATATATATATATATATATATATATATATATATATATATATATACATATATATATATATATATATATATATATATATATATATATATATATATATATATATATATATATATATATATATATATATATATATATATATATATATATATATATATATATATATATATATATATATATATATATATATATATATATATATATATATATATATATATATATATATATATATATATATATATATATGGCTGCAATATAGGAGGGATTTTAAATTCTCATTATTCTTGCTTATGCTGATGACATAGTACTAATAGCTCCATCTTGTCTCAATAAAAATTATTGAATGCAATTAAGGCTTATTAATTAATATGTCTTTTAACACAAAGAAGACAGTTTGTATGATTTTTAACCCTAAACAAAAATCAAAAATTGTGTCGTAGTCATTTCCAAAATTGAATGTAACAGGTTGCAATCTGGAATTTGCTGACAGCTTTAAATACCTCGGTCATATTGTGAGAAAAGAAGTAGCAGATGATACTGATATAAAAAAAGAGATAAAAATCGATATACTCGAACAAATATGCTAATAAGACGCTTTTACAGGTGTTCAAGCCTAGTTAAAGTAAAACTATTCCAATCACATTGTATATGTATATATAATACCTATATAATGCTTTCCTGTGGAACAGTTTTAGCACAAGAACATTAGTACACCTACAATATTGCTATAACAAATGTTCAAAAAAATTTTTTGAATATAAAAAATATTGCAGTCTGACTCAGATGTTTCTAGAGTTAAGGCTTCAAACTTTTGAGAACCCTTAGAATTAGGAAAAATTAGGTCGGCAATAATTTAACGACCTCAATCTTTTAGAGGTCGGCATCAGGTCGGCAAAAAAAAATTTGATACTAAGGTTTTATTATAAAACATAGAAACGAGGTCGGCAATTTTTGCTTTTAGGTCGGCACTTTGTGTACTTGTTTGGAATCAACATTTGAAAAATGAAGTAAAAAAACTTAAAAGAGTTTAGCAAACAGGTACAAAGCTTGTATCAGGTTTAAATCACAATTCTTATGAAAACATTTTAAAATAAAAACTAATTTAAACAAATATTTTAAAATAAAAACTAATTTAAACAAAGTCCTGATTACGTCTTAATGTAGACGTCACTGGGCGTCCTAATAAAGACGTCTTTACCGGACGTCTTAATTTGGTCTAAAACGTCGCGACCTAGTTTAGACGCCCGTAAGATGTCTGATTGACGTCTGTGCCCGCTGGGATAATATCCAATCCGTTGATAAATAGCGATTTGCACAACGGCTTTCCCAAACGTTTAAAGCTTTTTAAAGTTAATTAAAAAAATTTATTTCATACCTTTGAAAAGAGAATAATAAGCATAGTTTTTCTATATGTATATAGTTATTTTTCTGCCGCTTACTGAAAAATATTAAAGTAAGGAATAAGTATAGAAAAGGTCGATGTGGAATTGATTTACTAAGACCCGTATTTTACGAGTCTGGACAGCTAGTATGTTATACTATTTGTAATTGATTATTCATTAAAAAACCCAACAAAGAAAAATCTAGTTGTTATTCTAATTCATTTATTTCCTGTCAGACCACAGTTATTAATTATTTTATATTTTAAGGCCAATAATAACTTTAAGAATAAACCTTACTGTTATAATTCTAGGTTATTTATAAAGCACTCAGTCCTCTTTATAAACCTAAAAAGTAATAATAACTCCAAATTTCTGAGGGAGAATCCCAATACCCTCCACTCCCCTGACTGGTATTCTGTACCCCTTAAATTCCTTCGTAATCATTGTTCAAGATGGCCTCGTAAAAATGTTCTTCATTTTTAAAAGGCTTCACATTTTATTTAGGCGGCTCTAATGAGCTCCATTTCGCTCTTTAATCATAATCACCCTTTTTTGAAAGCAGCGATACGTCTTCGGCAGTTTGGGCAGCGATACGTCTTCGGCAGTTTGGGCAAACGATTAAAGTATTTTTCATATAATTTCTCGTGTGTTTGTTATAAAAAAATTTGTGAATGTAAAATATTATAAATGGTATTCTAGGTAAATTTAGTTTGGCAGAAAGTTCGGTTAATGTTGTCTTTGGCTTGTTGTCCAAAAAATTGCTTATACGCTTTTTTGTGTTTTCATCGTTTTTTCGTGGTCGTTCGTTTCGATCTTGGTTTTCAACTGATCAAGTCTCAAGGAAAAAATTATACGTTGTCATTGATGTCCTTGGTTCTGGTCATTCCTCATTTTCCCGCTTCAAGCATCTTATAATCTCAAATACATTCTTGAATTTTGGAATAAATACAATTATTCAAATTCTGAAATATCAACTTAATGGCATGATTTAATTTAAAATTATTACACAATGTAACAAAAAAAAAAAAAATTTTCTGTTTATCAAAATTTTTTGATGTTTCTTAATTAATTTGAGTATGCTGAGTCTGAATATGAAATTCGATTTTTTATTGCATCAATCGTTTGGTCGTAAAACCAAAAAATCAATTAAACATATAATTAATATAAATCGTTTTGCATTAGATTCTACTTTAGTCAATATAAAACATTTACTAATTCAAAAGTGTTATGTTATGTTACAAAACTTCATGTTACATCATGTTTCTTACATATATTACATAATGTTACATTATATTGTATTGTAACAGTCTCTCACAATCTCAAAAAACACTAAAAGTGAACAGTAGAACGAGGTTTTCTTTTATGAAGTTTCTCGTCATCGCGTATCAAACACCAGATGTAGTCACCCATCATAGCTGCATCCCATCTGCCCTGGTATCTTTTCTCCATTGCAAGAATATCCTGATGGAAACGTTCCCCGTGCTCTTCACTCACATCACCCAAATTTGGTCTGAAAAATTCCAAGTGTGAATGCAGGTAATGCAGCTTTATTGACATTCTGCATTTCATATCTGCGTACCGTACAATTAAGTTTTCCACTATCTCTTTGTAGTTATCACTCTTATTGTTGCCTAAAAAGCTATGAGCAACATGTCTAAATGCAGTCCATGCTTCTTTTTCAACAGCAGACATTTTGTCCTCAAGCTCCTTACATGCCAACATAACTTTAATCTGTGGACCAACGAATATACCTGCTGAAATATTTGCATCTGACACCTTTGGAAACATCTGCCGAATATGCTGGAATGCTGCACTATCTGGGTTTAATGCACATTAAACTTGGTCTTATCAAACAAATTGTTTGATAAGACCAAGTTTAATGTGAAGGGGTGGTAGTAAGATCTTTTCAACAGGTATCAGAGATTGATTAATAACATTGTGCGAACCAGGCTGTAAATGTTCTCTCACTGGCCACTCACGTCTTGTGAAGTGCTGGTTTGCAGCCCTGCTATCCCATAAACAAAGAAAACACGAGTACTTTGTGTATCCTCCTTGCAGACCGAGAAGAAATGCTAGCATCTTAAAGTCTCCACATACATCCCACTTGTAACTGTCGTAGTTGATTTTCTCAAGCAACAACTTCACGTTCTTATAGTCTTCCTTTAGATGAACGGAATGAGCTACTGGAATCGAAGGAAATCGGTTTCCGTTATGGAGCAAAACTGCCTTTAGACTTCTTGTTGAGCTGTCAATGAATAATCTCCACTCTTCAGGATTGTGAACAATGCTAATGTCATTGAAAAGACCACGAACGTCATGACAATAGCACAGTGATTCTGATACTACATAAAAGTATGCGAATGTTTCATGTCTTTTTCGGTATTTCGAGGTTCTGCAGCTTGGATCTAATAAATTCCATTCTTTCAAACGTGATGTCAGAAGTTCTGCATTTGATTTAGTGAGACCTAAATCTCGTACTAAGTCATCAAGTTCTTGTTGGTTAGGGAAATGAGGTGAATCATTCGGTTCCCTGAAATCACAGTCATCATTGAGTTCATCCGATGAGTCTACTTCAGAATGATATGCAGCTGCTTCTTCGGATTGAGGTGGAGTAGGAACAGGCAATTCATCACTGTGTGGAACTGGTCCAATAGAAGGTGGTATACTTGGATAAACTAGAGTCAGCCTATCTTTCGGTTTTTTATACTTTGAAATGTCAACAATGCAGAAAAAGCAGTCATCATGATGGTTCGTCGGTTCTCTCCATATTCTTGGAATCGCAAAGGGCATTGACTTTCGGATTCCACGCAGCCATCCTTCCAGAGTTGATCTGCAGCTACCACAACTGTAGTGTGGTGCCCACGATTTGTCCTGATCTCCCATAGCCATGCCAAAATAAGCATGATATGCAGTAAAGAATTTTGTACCACTGACAATCTTATGTTTAGCTTGTGTTGGACTAATATAGTAACCACAAACATAACAGAATGAGTCAGGACAAAGCTTGCAGGATCTACTAGACATATTCACTACTTCATGTAACAGTTGTAATTAGTTAAACTGAAAATAAACACACGAATATAGTTAAAATCAGCATATATATATATAATGTTTTAATTGCATTACACATATACGAAAACTCCGAAATATACTTTATGCTTTTTCTCAGGAAATCTTGATGATAGAGAAAAACCAATGGTACCACTGAAATCAGCATACAAAAATTATGTAAGAAACATTAAAAAATTAACATAAACAAAAATGTTGTTACATGGTGTTATAAAAAAATGATAACTGAATAATATAATAATACGTCATATATATTTTATGCGTAGACTTTCTGACCGTGTTGTGAATTAGGTGAACTACGTACGTAGACGGTAGTGTGCATGCTTGTAGTCACGTCGACAACCGCAGTTAGCTACCACGCAGTAATTTAAAGGACTGTTGTAATTATTTTGATAATTACAACAATTTACAAAATTTACAAAGTTACAAAAAATTTTTAAAAAATAATTTACAAAGTTAAAAAACACATGAAAGTGTTTTTTTTAGTTTAGTATTTATAGTCGACCGTTTATTTAGTATTTATAGTATTTTAGTTTAGTATTTATAGTCGACCGTTTGTTTAGTATTTATAGTCGACCGTTGACAAAATGCAGCCACGGTCGTTTAGATGTGGAAAGTTATTATACGCAAGCGCAGTGTCAAATTCAAATATTATGATTTTAAAGATGGTGACGGCCTTTAGCTACAAAAATTTTTCTGAGTAGCAACAACATCTTTAAAGTTTTACTTAGTAGTTTTTATTTGCATATTTTTGATAGAATGAAATAATAATAAAGATAATTGAATTGTTGATTCAAAAATAATAAAAACAGTATAAAGATGTTTTAGTATATTAAAAACTGTGATTCTCTGCTACATTTATCTGACTGTTAAAAGCGTGATTTGTTTACATTTTCAAAACTCTTTTTCTAAAAATCTGAGCGATACAATTTAATAATTTTTATTTTTTTATTTCGAATAGTCTTATTTTGATTTGAAATTGTTTTCAGATCTGAGTATTCAATTTTTTTCTGAACAAAAATAGATTTCACCCAACACTACTTTTGTAGATGTATGATACATTTATATTAATGTATACAGCTAAAAAATATGTATATACATAATTATATGTGAATGATTATAATGCAAAAAAAAAAAAGGCTAAAAAGTTCACAAGTTACTTATAAAGTATGTAAGATAAAATATTTATATATAAGTTAAGTATAAATTTATTATGTTACATAGTTTATATACTATGTAATTTGTTTGCATTTAATTTATATTTGTTTTTATAATATGGGTAATATAAACTATAAAATATAGTTTTTATAATATATCATAATCATGTAACTATATATTATATACAATTTGTATCCAATAAATTTGTGTGCATATTATATTACAACATGATTACAACAATTGTATGCAAACACATTTAATGCATACAAATCAAACTCTGAAAATAAAAATAATAATATATGTCCAAGCATAGTATACTATGTAATACAATAAAGCATATATATATACATATATATATATATATATATATATATATATATATATATATATATATATATATATATATATATATATATATATATATATATATATATATATATATATATATGCTTTATTGTATTACAATAAAGCACATATTGTAATACAATAAAGTATATATATATATGTATATATATATATACATATATATATGTATATATATATACATATATATATATATATATATATATGTATATGTATATATACATATATATATATGTATATATATATATATATATATATATATATATATGTATATATATATATATATATATATATATATATGTATATATATATATATATATATATATATATATATATATATATATATATATATATATATATATATATATATATATATATATATATATATAATACATACACCATTGGCCATTAATTAGAGCATACTTACTGTATATATATCCTGTTTGCTTAAAATTAATTTAAAAACTAGTTAGCTTTTCAAATATTTTATTATTTCTAATTAATAAGAATCGTGTTTTTTATTTAATGGACAACTTGTTACCATAAAATTTTATTTGTATCCCTAATTATGTGTAACTTTATAACATCGACTATATTTTTTTAACTTTTTTTTGTTCGTCAAAAATTAATGCTTACTGCTTTATTTTTAGAATTAATGTAATATATTAATGATTTTTAAATATTGGATATTCAGTTGTTGCACATATTTGAAAACCTTATACTGAAACAGATGACATTATGGATCTTGATAATCTGGTGGGCAACACAATGAGATAAATGTTTATTAATTTCAAGTGGTGAAATGTTATATTCTCAGACAAAATGAATGTTGAGGTAGATATGCAAGAATATGTTATTGCTTCGTGTTCTGCTATAGCGATCACCTCAAGAGTAATTTGATTTGAATTGTACATGAAAACCACCCAAGCAAGGTAATGGCAGTGTAGACTTTTGGGCCTACATGAATTATGCAGGACTTAAATGGAATTGATTATTTGAAGGTTGACTTAATGCTGATAGAAACATTAAAATTTTAGATAATTGCCTTCTTTTTCTTTTGTAAATTATTGTTTTAATATATTATTTGAAATACATACTTAACTTTTGTCCATTTTTTTTTTTTTTTTCATTAAAATAAAATGTTTCATTATTTATTTATTTTTGGTATCTAAATCAATATGTTTAGATCTTTTTTTGGATTTTCATAATGCATATAGATTTTACTTATAACATTAAAAAAATAAAAATAAAAGCATTTTAGTTTTTGAATTAGTTTATTTTGAATTTCATGTTTTATAAAAAAATCGTGACAAAAACAATGTGTGCTCTAATTTAGAGCCTAAAAAGTCTTACCTACCCCAAAAAACTAATTTAACGTCATGTCCTGGACATATATATTCCTGGACAAAAAATCTCTATTTATTTGAATAAAATAAACCTGCTTTTATTAATAGTTTATAATGAAATTAGCTCAAGGTCATATCATTATAAATTTTCACAAACTTGAGTAATAACATTATTAGAATGTTATTACTCTAATAACATGTAGTTATCTTAGAAATTTCAAAACAATTTTAAAAAAGTATTTTTTGAACTAAATTTAGTTATGGTCATGCTTAATTATGGTCAAGTCAAATCTAAATGTTTTAAAAAAAATTTCATGAATTGTGAACAAAAATTCCCCTACAAGCTAACTGCCTCTGCCAAAACATGATGACAAATGACTTGATAAAATGCTTAATTTCTCTATCTCATACTAAATATACCTTCAGTTTTTCAATTTAATTTAATTGTGTTATAGTGCCTAAAAGTTATGACCATATAAAATTAATAGCCCCCTCGATTTGATCAAACTTTACTCATTTAAATACTAAAAAGATATTATAAGGTATTTTATTAATTATTATAGTTATAAATAGTTAGAAAGGAAAAAACTTTTAAAACTAGAGACTCAGTTCACAAATCGAATGTATTAAAATATGTAATGAATATAATAAAAACAAGAAGTTAATATATTAAAAATTGTATGTTAGGCCAATTTCCGTGGGCCTAACATACATACGTATTGAAATATATATTATAAAACGATTTGAAAACAATAAACAAAACACACTAAAGTAGTAAATTGCTGTAATTACATTTAATTCATTTTTAGAGGTTGGATATTTAATTTGAAACATTTTATCGTGTACTAGAAGTTACTTTTATTATAATTTCCTCTTAACAAACGGCTAAATGCATATTTAATAGCTAAAAATTAGAAAAGTAACTCGTTGTCAATGAG